AACTGAAACTAATGCTGCAGTATGGGTGAGTTTAAGAAGAGAGCATGCATGATATAGACCACTAACCTTTATGTTCATGTTCTGTACCTCTGTCAGCATTCAACCAGATATCAGGTTTTCTCAGTATTGTACCAACTCCCTAAAAATATCCACAAAATGGATTGTCTCAATGCCTAATTAGAATATTAAAATGTTCATTTGATACATGCTCTTAATGTTTGAAAAATTAATCTAAAAATCAAACTGTGTGTATAAGTCATAGCTTAACAGAAATACAACAATAATCATAACAAAAGTTGATGAAATTCCCTGTATTTCATGCTATTCTGTTGATTTTTTTTTAACAGGGTCTCACAATGCCGTTCAGACTGGTAGTGATCCTCCTGTTTTCAGTCTCCCCAGCTCTGGGATTACAGGTGTGCACCACCACACCCAGACTGGGTCGCCAGCTCAGCGTGCCTGGGGGCAGGGCCAGGGTGGCATGAGGTACTGGGATCGAACTCGGGTCCCAGCTCTTACCTAAGCAGGTGCTTAGTTCACTGAGCTATCTCACCAGCCCTCTCTTGATTATTAAAGCCAATAATATTAAAATTTGATCAAACCTTCTTGGGATATTACTTTGAATTAGACCCTGTGGTCAATACTAAAGCTTCACAAACATTACAGAATCATTTTTTTTTAAAGAAACAGAATAGTCAGTCTGTTCCTAGAAGTAGGAATATCATCAAAATGCAGATGACTTTCAAATATTAATATCTTATATTTTTCTGCTTTGTTACTTACCTTGCTATTTTGGACCATTTATGTTGGACCTTTTACATATGTGTGTATGTATGTATGTATGTATGTATGTATGTAAGTTTGTACATGCATTTATTTTTAATAGATGGAGGTAAGGTAGAAAAAATGCTTTGAGTCCTTAAAAGTAATAGCTGTGGAAATAGTACAAAGCTTTGTTACTGTGTTTACCATTATCTAACATAAATGTGCATATTTAATAATTGGAATTTTTTGCAATTCAGTTTAAAATAATGTGCAAGGAAATAGAAGGTACATTCTGAAGTCCAACATGGAAGACTTGGCTGAAGAAAGTAGCAGGAGCAAACTAAGAAGCTTCAATTTTTGAAAAGTTTATTAACCAAATTTCAGAAGGTAAATTGTTTTTATTTCTCTTTTAAAGAAAATAAAAAATTCCTTTAGAAAATCATTAGAAACAATATCATATTTCACTAAGCAAAATGGAATTCAATAATGGTTGTTATATTGCATAGTATTGTCTTCAAGTTAGTTGTTCAGATTAGTAGATATAAGCATGCAAAATTGATCAAAAATCAAAAGAAAAACGGAGAGAAATAAATTAACCATTAACTGCTCCTTTAATGGATTAGAAGAAATCAGCAGAACAGTCATCCAGGCTACCCTTTCTATTCACATATATATTTCTTTTTCTCTTCTTTCTTTCTTTCCTCCTTTCCTTCATCTAAGTTGTACCCTCCCTCAGAAAATTTCTTTTCCTTTGATGGTATCCATCGTACCTTTCAGATCTTATTTACTCTTTCAGCTTCTTACACTAGGGAGATAGTATGATGTTTACACATGAGGGTCTGATTTATTTCACTTCTGAATATGGTTTCTACTTGCATGCATGTACCCATAAAAGCTTCAACTTTGTCTTTCTGTATAGCTGAGCAAGACTCCATTGTATGAAAAACACATCTTTTTCATCCATTCCTCTGGTGGAACTTAAGAAATGTTTCTGTATAAATGATAAAAACTGAGTGTTAAGTGTTCAGGGAGTATAAGTTATCTTATTACTTTCAGGTCAAGATAGAAAAATGAAGAAGTTAGATGCTCAATGAAGTTCAGGGATAAATTATCCAGGTTATGACTCATTCTTGAAACACTTTCCTCCACTATTTACTCTTTTCTACTTCCCCTGACTCCAGGGGGATTAAAATTTTTTAAAAAGATTAAAAAAAGAGTAATTACAATCTTTTTACTGTGTATGGGAGGGACCCACATACTTCATGTTTCTACGCATTCCCTCTGTCAAATCGCCTCTCTGGGCATGGACAGGACAACAAGTTTGTGTCATATTTGGTTAAGAAATGTAAGCTAGGAAACTTTTTATGGTAGCGTAGAAGCAAAGTTCTTTAAACCTTTGAAAACAACATTTGCCTTTGTCTTTGAAAGAAATTATAGATGAAAATGTGTTTTACAAAGTTGCTTTCTATACAAATATCTTTGAAAATTAGAGGAGACAAAAAAGGGAATCAATGTCTCTACTTAGACATATATAACCACAGTGACCTATGGATAAATATCTCTGAAACACCAATAATTAGCAAGAGATTCAAATAATAATGGGAAAAAAACATCAACTTTAATAAAACATTTCAGTTCTGATGACTGTAATTAGGTGCCCATTTTTATTTATTGTACAGAAAAAGATACAAGTTTCATAACAAAATATTAGGAGAATAACAATAGCTAATATATTAAATGTTGTTATGCTTCAAGTAGTTACTTGGGGTACAGGATATGGGTATAAAAATTTCTTTCATCAAATTTCTTTTATTTATTTTTAGTTTTTTAATATATTTTGTACAGAGTCTCACTACACAGCTCAGATTCATAGTGATCTTCCCATTTCAGCCTTGCAACAGTGGGATTACAGGCATTGGCCACCACTCCAGCTCTTGGTTGCCCACTCTGCATGCCCCAGGCAAAGCATATACTACTTAGGTGATCCAACCCAGTTCCGTGTGCTTGCCTAGGCTATCTCCACAGCCCTCTGCCATCAACTTTAGCACAATCATTTTTTTTTTAATGAAGTGAGAGATACATAGTGTAACTGATTTGTACTGCTTTACTTTTCCCAAATGGCCCTTCCCTTTTTTCCCATCCTAATTCCTTTTTCTTTTAGAACAATTTCCTTCCACTTCAAAATATTTATTGTACATTTTAGAATTTATTTACTCTTTCAGTTTCTCTCATCAAGGAGATAAATACAATATTTATACATGTGAGTCTGATTGATTTCACCTATAAATGTTGTCTCAAGTTGCATCCAGCTACCTAAAAATATCTCAATTTTCTTTTTCTTTATATCTGCATAGCACTCCATTGTATCAAAATACCATCTTTTAATTTTTTTTTCAATTCTCTACATATTTTAGATAGAAGCCCTTCGTCTGAGGAATGATGGGCTAAACTTTTTCTCACTCTCTGAGTTATCTATTCACACTGTTGGATATTTTTTTGGCTTCTAAAAAGTTTTTAAATGAGATGAGATCCCAGTTGTTGATCCTTTGAAATACTTTCCATACATTCGAGGTTTCATTTAATTTAATAATGAATACACCCATGACTTTACGACTTCTGTAAGTTTTCTCTTCCAGTACATTCAGTTTTTCTGCTGTAATATTTAGAATATTGATCTACTTTGATCTTGAATTAATATGCGGTGATATAAACAGGTCTAGTTTTAGTCTTTGACATGTACAAAGGCACTTTTATAGCACAACTTATGAAAGAAGCTGTGTTTCTTCTAGTGAACACATTTTAGCCTCTTTGTCAAAGAAAATGTTGCTTATTGTGTTTCCAGTTGTATGCATCCTCTAGCCTGTTTAATTGGTCTTCAGGTCTGAGTTTTTATAGTACAATGCTGTTTTTTTGGTTTTTTTTTTTTTTTTTTTTTTTTTTTTTTTTTTGGACAGGGTATACAGGGTGTTCAGGGTGTCACTACTAGATCAGACTCATAGCGATCCACCTGTTTACAGCCTCCCAAGAGCTGGGATTACAGACAAGTGCCACCATGCGCAGTCTCAATTGCTCTCTCGGCATGTCCCAGGGGTGGGGCTGGCATGGCAGGCCCAGAGATCAAACCCTTCATCCCTGCACCTACTTGCAGGTGCTTTAATCCACTGAACTATTTGGCCAGCCCTCCAATAGCTTTTAATATTTGGCTCTTTTCCTGAAATTTTAGGATCTTGATTATGATATGTTTGAGGGTAAATTTATTTTACTTATGGCTTATTGGAGTTCTATACTCCTGGTTTATCTGTATGTCGGATTCTTTTCCTAACTCAGAAAATTTTGTGCTATTATTTCCACAAATAGTCTTTTTATGTCATTTGTGCTGGCTCCTGCATTTTTACTGATGCCAATTGTTTTTATATCATTTTTCTTTGTATCATCTTGAGTTGTTATTGCCTCACCTTTTCTATCTTCAAGAATTTGTTCCTTTCATGATAGACAGCCATGTTTCTGTGGTCAAAGTCTGCCAGTCTGTCTTCAGTTTCATTCAAGTGGCTTTGGCATGTTTCAATTAAATATTTTATTTCCTGGGTGGCTGTTAGAATCAATTTCATACATTCTACTTCTTTTTATATTGATTTTTCACCATTTTCATCATCTTCCTATCATCTTCTTTTTTAAATCTATCTCTAGATTTGCTGAACAATTTTCAAAAAATAAGTATTAACATATCTTTTTTATATGAGGGTTTATTTTTATTCTTATTTAATCTATTATCTCATGGATTTGTTTCTTTATTTCTCTCCCATTTCAGACATGTCAGGTCTGTGCTGTCTATTTTCCTTTATCTTGCCTCCTGGAATTGTTCTGGGTGGGCTGAAGGTCTGAGGCTGCATTTTGCTTCTGCATCTTGTCATTTTCTTTCTTTCTCTCTTTCTTTCTTTCTTTCTTTCTTTCTTTCTTTCTTTCTTTCTTTCTTTCTTTCTTCTTTCTTCTTTTTTTTTCAGTACCAAGGATTGAGTTCAGGACCCTGCGTGTGCCAGGTAAATGCTACTGAGCTATCTCTGTAGGGCCCATTTTATCATTTTCAACTTCAAAAGTTTTTATTTTGCTTTATGCTTTATTTTATTGTTTAAAATAATTTTATTGAGAAACAAATAGCAATGAGATAGCTTCAAAACCAATTAGTAGGACAGTTTCAATAATTAATACATTGCATATTGTCTTCTTAGTGGGTTTTTTTTAATATGGAATGCTTCATGAATGTGTGTGTCATTTTTGCACAGGGGCCATGCTAATCTTCTCTGTATCATTCCATTTTTAATATAAGTGCTTCCAAAGCGAGCAACTTGGTGGTTATTCATAGTACAAGATGTAGACATGATATCCTGTCCACAAACACTATTAGTGTAAGTCTTTTTCTAAAAAAAACAATTAAAAAATTAAAATATATTTTAAAAATAGGCATAAAGAATTATATAATTCCTATGTTTACACATAAGTCCAGGAATCTATCTGTAGGGACTTAAAGTTCAACATATCAATACTTGGTGAAAAAATACCTGTCCCATGTTATGTCTAAAATGTTTGATATTCAGACAGATCATGAGGTTAAGCTTAACAGCCTAGGTTGTAAGTTAATAACAATAAGCTTGTCTTCTGGAGGATTAACAACCTAAGTTTGCAGACCAAAATTAGAGAAAAAGGAGGGCTGCAAGGAAAGCCAATATTTTGGCCCTAGCCTTCCAAGGTCAATTAAGACTCAGGACATATGGGAACTTGTACTGTAATGTCACATAACTCAATAGTGTCCCAAATTTTCTGATCAAGGAGATTATGGGGCCAAAGAGGAAAGTGATCAATGATGTAGAGTGTGCCTAATGAGAGTCACATGGAGAGAATACATTCTCTAAGCCTTTCACAGAAAGCACATTGGCCAAGCAATGGCAATGACTCATTCACATGGCTAACACTGACAAAGGATCTACAATCTGAGGTGCAGGATCTCAGGATAAATCCTGAGGGGATTTCACTGACCTTATCAGATCCAAAAGCTACAACTCTTGTTGCACAGGTCTTGCTTTATCTTGGTCTTAACCATCCAGCAGAAAAGTATAAAAAAAACGAAGTGTAAGAAGTAAAGCCATGGTATTATGTTGAGCTGTAGGGGACTCTGGTCAACAATTTCTGACACTGCCAGTGAAGTGAAAGACCCAATACTATTATGGACTACTGGACTCTTTTAGAATATTTTGCTGAATTAACACACCTATAATATTCAAATGATAGAACTAAACAAAAAAGGGATAAAGATGAATGACCATTTTGTATCTGTGTATTCAAAATGGTTAGGATAGATATATAGTTACATTCTCTTAATGAATACAGGGATTTGTTGTAATAGTATTTGTATATAGGATATCATGTCTGCATCTTGTACAGCAAATAACCACAAGGAAGAGAGTATGCAGTGCGTTAATTATTGAAACTGTCCTACCAATTTGATTTGAAACTGTCTCATTGCTATTTGTCTCTCAATAAAATTATGGAAAAAATATTTTTGTACAAATCTTTCTATTCATTGAATTAGGAGAAAGTAGCTTTATATCAACCCTAACTATTTTGAAAATATAGATACAAAATGGTCCTTCATTTGTATTCCCTGTTTTGTTTAGTTTTGTCAGAGATGGGTATTTGATTGCCATTTAAGTGTTTTAGGTGACTGGATTCAGCAAAATAATCCAATATAGTACAGTAGTCCATAACAGTAGTGAGTTATCTGTAGGACTGGCAATGTCAGAAGTTATTGACTTGAGCCTTTTACAGCTCAGCATATTAATATGCTTTACTTTTTATACTTCGTTTTTAATCCTAGGAAGTTTCTGAGTTAGATAGCTTTGTTACTCATATTAAAGAATATTTTACTAAGGTTTGTTTTTCATCATGTCTTCTGTTTATAGGTTTGTTTCTGTTCCCAAATCCTACTTTCCCACTAATTAAGAATGAGATATTGCTATAGGTCATAGGTTTGGGTCTATGACCAGTTCTTTAGTTCTGGAGTATGTTGAGATTATTACCCCAGAACTATTGTTAAAGAAATGAGAACCAGAAACGTATATGACATCCTCACTAAAGTAGTGTAATTAACACTGAAAATAACATCAAATACAGTTTAGATACTGACAAACTGCAGTAACTATTAATATTTTAACTTTAACCTAGAAGCAAAATCTAGAAATAAAGTGCAAGCCATGCTAGAGGATGAAGGATGATCATACATAATTTTGCAAACTATGGAAGAGGGCAGAAGCAAAAGAATGAAAGAATGAATAAGAGATTATTCAAGTTGATCAGAAAAATATTAGAGACTCTTCACTTATCTGAAAATATGATTAAGTCTAGAAAGTTAAACTGAAGAGGAATGAAATGAAATAGTTTAGAGAAAAATAGAGCTAAGTGACAAAAAAGAAAGAAAGAGAAGAAAAAAACAGCAAAAAGGAAGAAAAAATAAATTGAAAAGCAAAATTCTTCTGTTGTTCATTGAGAATCCAAAACTGCTGTACAACAGTGATGAGCCTGAAGTAGAGTTTGCACTGGGTTTGCGGCTAATCTTGGCCTCCAGAATTGGGCCTGGAGCCAGAGTCTTCAGCCAGTACTTTCTATGTGTCCCTCAGTGGTTATGCACTCCTTACCCAGTTTTCCTTTGTCACTTTTCTCTCCCAGTTGCTGTGCTTTTTTTCAGAGAGAGATGGAGACTGTTTTCAGTTCCACGCACCTTTGCCTCCTACTTTTTCTTGCTGGCCTCCGTGTTTCTCGTCCACTAGCAAATCTCTGTCCTCAGTCATGCACTGCAGG